CTCTAAGTGGTGGGGGGCTTTGGGGGGTCCCTGCAGCTGCTTGCTGCCACGGAGCGAGGGGAAGGGGGCGGGACGCTGACGTACACGACCAGGGGGCATGGCCATGTACAACTGTTTATTACTATATTGCATGTCACAAGGACTTCAAAAATCTGTATCTATATAAATGGCACTAGGAAGAGCAATCTAAGGAAGCTTAACTCTAAGTGGTGGGGGGCTTTGGGGGGTCCCTGCAGCTGCTTGCTGCCACGGAGCGAGGGGAAGGGGGCGGGACGCTGACGTACACGACCAGGGGGCATGGCCATGTACAACTGTTTATTACTATATTGCATGTCACAAGGACTTCAAAAATCTGTATCTATATAAATGGCACTAGGAAGAGCAATCTAAGGAAGCTTAAGTTTCACCGACACCTATTTTCACTTTAGTTATCAAAAAGCTTATTTTAAACTAAAGATTACAAGGTTTTCTGAAGAACCATTTTTTCTACATAACTTAGATACTTTGCTATTAATGCCATTTCAACCTTAAAGCTGCTCCAATTCTACCTCAGTGGTTATTATACACATTTAAAAAATTACAAGGCTGAAATGTGCAAGCAAAGAATGGTATAGGATTTTACTCATTTTAAGCTCACTTTAAACATACTATATTATCTAATTACTTATTTATCTGCTAACAGTGGCATTATAAATAGTGAAAAATAACTGTATACCTGGTACCATAGGTATGCTATCAAGGTTCCCTGTAAGATGCACACCTGCACAGGCGCGCACCAAGAATTTCATTCCTGCCCAACCCCCTCAACAGAGCAGCACAGTTACAGCCCAGCTGCTCCCGAGGGTGGAACTGCAGCTGTGTGGCAAGTGATCGCCCACCCCAGGAGCAGCTGGGCAGGCACCACGCAACCTGAGTGGCAGCTGCCAAAGCTGAAGCCTGGGCCATGGTACTAAAAATAGCACTGTGGCCCGGCTCCAGTCCTGGCACACAGGGCAGCCAGCTGCTGCATGACCCAGCCCCTGGGAGTAGCTGGGGCCACAGATGCGTGGTGGCTGCTGGGGACGGGACCAAAAAAAAAAAAAAAAAAAAAAAGGCAACACTGTGGCCCTGGCTCAAGGCCCAGCACACACAGCAGTCACCCACCATGCTGCCCCACCCAGCAAGTGCAGGTGTAAGGAAGGAAGAAGGTGAGAGAAGGGGCAAGGGGATAATTAAGGGGAAGGTGGGGGTGAGGAGACAAAAGGGTTTGTGCAGAAGAGAGGGGAGGAGGCCAGGGCAGGAGAAGAAAGGGGAAAGAACGAAGGGGCAGGGTGGGAGGAGAGACAAATGCCAGGGGGCCAAGAGGAGACAATGGGGCGGGGGGGGGGGGAAGGGGGGTGAGAGAATGGGAA